ATAGCAAAAATCTCTCCAAAAAAAAAAAAAAAAAAAACCTGAGATTTCTTCTAAGTTTTTAAATAAAATTGCAAGAAAACACATGTGCTTTCCAAAGAGAGAGAGAAAGGGAGATAGGGAGAGGGCAGAAGCACCTTCCCAAGCCATGGTTTTGCTGTAATTCCTTCACCCCATTTTTCTGTCCTGTTAGCATTCACATGCTCTTGGAGTGTTTTTAAGCCTGCAGGCCAGGATTCAAACTGCGGTCTACCATGTAGGATCTGGCTCTCTTAACTACCAGGCCACAGGGCTGGTCCCTAATTCTAAATGAGTTCACAGAAATAATTTCTTTAGGAGTTTGAGCAAAAACAACTATTTGAGCTTTTAAACCCTTAAAGGCTCTTGTATAGGTCCTTAGACTGTATAGCCCTTAGAATATTCAGTTCTACCCCCTCTTTAGCAGATAAAATAAAGATGTCAAAATATTAATCACTATCTTAAGGTCCCATAACTATTGGGCCACCGGGAAAGTCATGACACATTTGTGTATAGAAAAACATAGGAAGCAACTAGGATTTTTTGTGGTTGCCTTTTCTTTTTTTTGGAGAGATTTTTGCTATAGGGCGTGTATGCTTGCCAGAAAGACAGAGAGAGAGAGAGAGAGAGAGAGAGAGAAAAAGTGAGAAAGCACCCTCCATGGTGATGGCCACGATGCAATCTCTTCTCCTATATTCTCTTCCTAGGATCCTGGGCACGCACACACATGCACCTGGCATGAGTTTAAGCCACCGGGTCCAGGACTCAAACCACAGTCAACCACATGGAAGTCCAGCGACATAGCCATTACACTAACTGCTGATCCCTTTTATTTTTAGACAACGCATGCTCTGTCATGCTCCTCGTGCCTTATCTTCCCAAATAACTGGGATTATATCTGACCTTTTAGGTTCGATTAGGAATTGAATCTGGGCTTCCCTTGTAGCCTCAGCCTATTGAATAGTATTGTCAGCCAGAGCTTGTGACCACAGCTGGGATGGAATTAGGGTTTTGTGGATGATATAAGTATGCTTTAAGACAGGTGGATAAAAGGCTTTTTTTTACAGTCTTAAACTTCATGTGATGTCATGTGATCAGTCTTTGGGATTTGCCCGATATTGTAAAAATATGTTGTTACTAGGTACATATACATAATTTTTTGAGAGTTTTTTCTATAGGGCATGTACACTCACTAGAAAGA